TGCCAAATCAAAATCGAGAACAACCCCCAGTATTGGGCCCCCACTTAAACAAGATGGGTCCTACACAGATGACAGCAAGGAAAAAGAGTGAGCTCTCAAGTCCCCTTTGCTCAGTTTTTTGCAAGCCGCCCAACCAGATGGAGTCGAAGATCAAAATGAAATTTTTTATGAGGAGCCAAAAATTTGATTAACACAAGTTCCCCATGTTATCCTACGCCAATGACTTCGAAAGGCGATAAATGCTGCCCTGCACTCTGCCAGGGCCGACTCATGGAACTTGTGTTCATCAAGAACTGCAAGAAGCCCCTTCCGGCCTTTTCTCCTATGGAGAGGGAGATGGGCAGGGGGTCGTCCCCCAGTTACTAAAAAAACAAAACATAGCCCCACTCCACAAAGGGGGGGAGTAAAGCAACAGCAAGAATACAGACCTACACTAACATCCCCTATCATAAAAAATCTTTTAAAAGGGGGCTAAGAAGCAAGTCCCACCCCCTCTGAAAACCCCTCAGTTACACAACCCCGGGCAACTGGGTTTGAACAGGGGCTCCCGTTGTCTCAACTACTGGATCACTACGACAAGGTCCTAAATGCACTAGAAGACAAAAAGAATGCAGTGTAATATTACAGATTTTCAAAAGCCTTCGAAAGGGGTGACCATGGCGTAATAGCGCACAAAATGCGCGCTAAAGGAATACAGGGAAAAATCGGTTGTGGATCTATAATTTCCTCCCCTAACAGAACACAGAGGGTCGTCAAAGAGTAAAGTCCGGGCACTACGGTGAAAAGCTCTGTTCCAAAAGGCACGTACTAGTCCATCTTGTTCCTCATCCTATATCCGACATAGACAAAGGTTTTCACCCCGCACCGTGTTTCCTTTTAGATGACACCCGAATCGCATGACGTGTTTCCATTGCAGAACTGCAGGTCCCGGCGGACTCAACCAAATCTTTTTAGTGGGCTGAAGAAAAACAATATGGGAAATTCAACGATGAGAAATTTCAATTTTCAGATTGGTAAAATGAGGGTTTTAAATCTTTATCGAGTACAAAACAAATTCTGGCCCCGAAATAGAGCGAAAAACCAAAGTCAAAGACCTGGGAGTGTTAGCGGGGATCTACCTTCGGACCATAAATTGTTCAATCGCATCTGCTAGAAAAAAAGACAGGATGGATAATGAGAACCTTAAAACTGGGGGGGCCAAAACCCCCTGATGACACTCTTAGTCACTTGTTCATCTAGGCTGGAATTTGCTGACTCTAACGCCCTTTCAGGCGGTGAAAATTGCCGCCCGAAAAAGTACAGAGAAAATTTCACGGCGCGCTCGGAGATAAAACCCTCAATTACTGGAGCGTTGAGGTTCCCAAACCTGTATTTCCCCGGAACGCGGGGGGGGAGGTAAAAGTTATATCACCTGGAAAATCCTAGAGGGACTGTACCGAACTTGCACGAAAATCATCCTACGAAAACAAAAATTGGCAGAGATGCACCCTCCCCCAATGAAAAGCGGGGTCCCTGCACGTTAGGAAATTTAAATAAGGGGCGGGGCCGGACTGTTCCTGCCTCCCGCCAAATGGGGGGGTTTTAAAAAAGCCCCTGGAGTTTAAAGGGCCGGACGACCTAAAAAGTTTATGCCGGGCGTGGCGTCGTTGGTTTGGTGAGCCCGCGAACAAGGGGGGTTGTTGGCACTGGGTCCCCGGGGGCTGGTACGAAGGGGGGGGGCGTTTGAAGGGAAAATTTCCGATTGTGTTTTATTTTAAATATTTAATTTTTTTTTTTTTTTTTTTTTTTTTTTTTTTTTTTTTTTTTTATTTTTTTATTTTTTTTTTATTTTTTTTTTTTTTCTTTTTTTATTTTTTTTTTTTTTTATTTTTTTTTTTTTTTTTTTTATTTTTTTATTTTTTAATATTTTTTTTTATTTATATTTTTTTTTATTATATAATAATATAATTATTTTAATATATATATATTTTATTTTAATTTTTATATTATTTAAATTATTTTTTATTATTATAAAATAATTTATTTTTTAATATTTTTTTTTTATATATTATATTTTTTTTTTTATTATAATTTTTTTTTTCATTTTTATATATATTTTTATTTTATATTTTATATTATTTTTATTTTTTTTTTTTATATTTTTTTAATTTTATATATATATTATATATATATTTATTTTTATTATAATATATATAAATTTTTTATAATTTATTTTTTTATGTATGTGTACGAATGGTATTAATACCGCAAGATGAGATTAGAACATGTGCAAATCTGGGTATCTTTTTGTGAGTTTGCCATCCGTGGCTTTATCAATCAAATTCTATGACAAAACTTGAAGACAGTAGAACTTGTACAGAAAATGAGGTAAACAGTCCTCAACCTAGGAAGGGGGCAAAGAGACCATACTATACGCACTACTACTACAACTAACCCATCTCTTTTGGGGAAGGGGCCCACTTCCCCCGGGGGAAACCCCCCTACCCGTGAAAATTTCCTGTTGCTACACCTGACGTTACTATATAAGCGCCCGGCTCCTTTTTCTGCTTAGAATCTCCCCGACTTGGTGCTCTTTTTCCCTTCCTAGGTTGAGGGATGATTACTTTTCTGTACATGTTCTACTGTCTTAAAGTTAGTCTAGGAAATTTGTATTGATTTTAAAGCCACTGGATGGGGAAACGTCTACAATAAAGATACCCCAGAGTTGACTGGTTTTAAACTCTATATTGTTAATATTTTTTATATATACATATTTTTATATATATATATATTTATATATATATTATATTTTTAATATATATATATATTAATATTTATAATATATTTTATATATATATATGTCGTGCCGAATTGGCAGAAACTTGCGTTTGGCCTTTAAAAAAGCAAGCTCATCTGCCGTGGCAAGTGAAAATTTGTGTATGCAATAATTTCCCAAAATATTCGAACCTCGAAAAAATATTTTTCACTGTGTTTGTTTAGTATTTAATTATTGTAAAACAAATCTAAAATATATTTAGCTGGGTTAGGCTAAAATAAATTGAGCTTGTTATAATAAGGTTAGGTAAGTTTTCTAAGTTCCTTTTGGTGCAAAATTATACATTTTTACATCAACATTAATGAAAAAATATATCTTTAAACCTTAAAGAGAAAACTTTAGAAAGGACTTAATTTTAAATGAGTTGTTGCTAATTGGCCAGTTTTACATATTCGGCACGACATATATATATATATATATATATATATATATATATATATATATTATATATATATATATATTATAATATATAATATATATAATTATATAATATTATATATATATAGGATGCTCACTGTTTTGGGAAACCTTGGATATATGCTGGATTTGTGTAAGTTTTTTTTTTTTTTTTTTCGCCGGTATTCTCCCGGCCCGGGTCTTTTCCAAGTAGTGGTGACCCGGCCTTGGCTCCCTATCTGGGAAGTGTCTCGAGACTTAAGTCTCCCATGGGAGGAGGTACAAGTACCTCCTCATCTTTGGGACCAAGTGTCCCCAGGCCTAGCCACATTCCCCGCCCTCACGGGGCTCGTAGGGAGAAGCTAGGCCTCTGGTCTGCCATCTACCCCGCCTCAAAGGGGCTCGTGGGGATGGCAGTCTTATGAGCTGCAGATGGTAGCAAGCTCAGGCCTCTTGTGTGTGTGTGTAAGTTTATTTAGGTGCAGCTATATATAAATACAGTTACACAATTTAACATACATAGTAATATATGTGTAAATTACCCAGGATAACCCAGACAAAGTGACTTATTTCCATTGGGGTCCTTGTAATATCTTATTATATAAACCTTTAAAGTTAAAACAACTGAGTAACTCAACTGTGTGAAAATCAATTACAGTAAAAGGAATAAGGTAAATGAGTTATTTACATTAACATTAAAGAGAGGATCAGCTTACAATAATAGGAACATGAATATTAGGTATGTAAGAAATCACTCTCCTCCCTTTTGTAGCTTTATTCATTAGGTACCTTATAGCTCTTTTCTTGAACTGGCTGATGCTAGAACAGGCTTTCATATGTGCAGGCAGCCCGTTCCATTCCTTTATAGCTGTACAATATAAGGTGCTTGAAGCCTGACCACCTACTGTGGGTACTACAGCAGGTGGTCACTTTCCCTAATGCCATACCTATTTTAGTTCCCAGCCTTGACAAACTAGACAGAAAGATATTGTAGACACTACTTGTGATCAGTTTTATAAGCATGATTTAGCTTCAGTCGCTTTACTCTTGTCTTCAACATTCAGCATATCCATTTGTAATTCATCCTGGTCTACATGCTCTCTTGGACCCAGGTCCAGGATGAATCTCACAATTTTGTTCTGGGTGATTTGCTGTCAAGGTATAAACCTAAGATTTTTCCCTCATTTTGTCTTACAGTGAGTGAATCGACCCTTGCAACCACATATAAGTGAGTACATATATACATGAGGCCTGGTCTCAGACCGGGCCGGGGGGGGGACGTTGACCCCCGAAACCCTCTCCAGGTAAACTTCAGGTACATATTGTACATTTTGTTTTATGGTTGTTTGGTTAATTGGGTTTCAAGCCTGTTGACTACACAATGGTCATTAAGGCCGCATGGCAACCTTTTGACCACCAGACAAGAATACTTTAATCCCTGAAACTGGGATTAAAGTAAACTGCCACTATATATACTGAGAGAAACACACCCCTCAGGGTATGTATCCTGTGTAGTTTATTTGTATCGGACCATTTAAATAGAGCGGGAGGGTGGAGTGCGGATCACGTGATGTTTTGATCGGTTGGGCGGGATGGAGGGGTGGGTGGTTGTAGAAGTTTAGTCCTTCTGTAGTGATGAAGGAAGGGCGGTTGCATCTTGTTGCAAGAACTTGTGGTGGGAGGGATTTTATATATGGGTTGTGGAGGAAGTATAGCTCTTCTGGAAGGGTAGAGAAAGGATGGTTTTGCCTTGTTAGGCAGCCTGGTGGGTGGGAGAGAGAGAGAGAGGGTGGGAAAGCGGCCATCTTGGGGTGGCCAGTGTAGTGTGAGAGAGTGTGTGGGCGAGACGTGTTGGTGCTGCTGGCTGCCTCCACCCAACACGCACCACGGACAATTATTGATCTACCCTCCACTATGTCACTCTTTGGATCCCTTATGAGGGGCTTCGACGACGAGTCCTTCTTCGGGTAGGTGACCTGGGTGGGTGTGAGGAGTGGGCGGGAGCACCACCTCTGCAGGAGGGGATAAAAATGGGTAATAATTGTGTGGATGGAGGGCAACTGTGCAAGTGTCAATGGCGGATGATTGGAATTACTCTACCATGGTCGCTGACATCTTCTCAGGCTCTGGCGATCGATAACTGGGAATTTAAAAAAGTATTATTTTTTTTTGGATTATATTCGAAAGGTGGAATTATTTTTGCTTTAGTTATTGATCAAAGGCGCAGGTAAGATGTCACGTTATTGCCTGTTATTCTCATGGTAATTGATATCTTGTTTAATATATGTCTGGAGAATATATCTATAGGTTGGTGTATTTCTTTCAGCGTATATAGGCTGAAAGTTAAATCCCTATTTTAGGGACTGACATTGTTTGGTGATGAAAAGGATATTTTCAGCCTGAAGTTCTTGTCGATAAAATCACATTTTACATTTAAGTACATTTTACATTTAAGTTTATTTAGTTACAGGTCCACATAAGTACAGTTATCGTACCAGTTAACATGTATAAATTACCTAGGAGAGCCCAAAAAAGTCAGTAACTTGTTTCCATTGGGGTCCTATTAGGACAGTCATCATTCATAGTAAAATTGTGTAAATGACCTAGGAGGATAACCCATTGAGGTCCATGTATTAATGACCCTAGTGTAGTCGATAGACCTCAAACCTCCCTCCAGTACCCTTAATCACCCAATAAATCTCATACGTGAACTAAAATTTCAGTTTTCACATGGAATGACATAAGTAGGTAAGTTAGAGTAAATCAGACATGCGAGCATTTACTTGACAGATTTTTTAATTTAATTATAAGCTTGAAGTCCAGGATTTGATGACGCTTTCTCAAGTGATGTACCTTGATGCTGGTGAATAGCTCTTGATTCAAGGAACTAGAACTACACTTGTTTTTCTTGAACTTAATTGCCTCTGATTCCTGAAGTGCTTTAACCCAGGATAACCCAAAATTGTGTCATGGGGATCTGTCCTATTAATACATTAGGACCCTTTAATCTTGTCTCCCAGGATGCGACCCACACCAGTCGACTGCTAGCTCAACAGGGGCAGCAGGTGTCAGGAAACATTCCTATTTCCACCCATGCTGGGATCGAAGCACAGACACTGTAATGCGAGTGAGTTGTCAGCCAAACCACAGTACCCCTTTGGGTCTAGTGTTTCCCCATGAAGGTAGCTCAGTGGAAATGCCCGGTTGGATGACTATTGGATTATCCTTCATTAAATGCTACATAATTTACTATGTAAAAGACTAAATGTTGAGCATAGGAATAGCTAAAAAGTTAATCTTTAACCCTAATAGCTAAGCTCACTCTTTAAGATTAAATGCTAAATACTCACTTATGTACTCCATCATAACTTCAACAATCACTTTGAACCTTTTATCCATTGTTGACAGGAATATAATTAAATCATTGTTTTCACAAAAAGCATTTTTGAATATATGAATGTATCTTTTGTCTTATACAAATAAGATTCACTTATAATTAATAATCTACTGTACAACTATGAAATAATTACTATCCTACTGTACAACTGTGATATAATCCTTAGTGTTAAGTAGTCTGTAAGCCAATAATGTTAAGTTGGCCCATAATGCCAAGGCATAATAGCGGCTCTTTGCATTGCAACCCACTGTTGTAAATACAAAATCTCAATGTACTGTTTGCAAAGACATAAAATAAATAGTGGCCTTCATGGCTTTGTTCTGCTCCACTTTTCAGTGTTTTGACAAGCAAGATATGCCTAATAAAAGAGGAGCAATTTTTAACTACTGTAGTGACTTGCAGAAATTTCTAGCACAACAGGTTTAGTTTCTTGATTTTTTTCCTTCTCCAAGTGTTTTAAGATGGTTTTCCTTATGAGGGGTGCCTTGATGCTGGTGAAGGATCCTTGCTTCAAAGAATTAAGTGTTAACCTGTTTCCCGAAATTGAATGTGACTTTCCCTTTAGAAAGGATATAAAAGTGGTGATTTAGGAATATGTTGTAGAAAAGTGTAATAATGCAAGGTATCGTTAAGTTCAGTACTTTGGGAAGCTATAAAAATAGTTTTAAAGTGTACAAGTAGGAATGTTGGGCAATATATAGTGTAGGCCAGTAGATCTACCATAGTGCTCCTTTTTATGTTATCACGAATTGCAAAGTATTAACCAAGGCTCGTATATCTGTGATGTGAATTGAACTAGTGACTTGTGGCTTTTGTTATCAATGTGTTTTTCAGGGTGTAATATTTTTGGGAGAGACTAGTACTGATTTCTATCAGGCTTTAAATTTAATGCACTTTGGGGTATGGGAGAATATGAAAAAAGGTTTGTGGGACTTGGTGCAGGTTTGCTTTAAGGTAGTTTGGTATTTTATGCAGTTTCAAGGGCTCTTCTATCTCTGCAGCTAAGCATGGGGCAAGGCTTCCCTGTTGACTACCTGGTCAACCAGTCTGTGCTGGTGGCCTGCAGATCCACATGGTAATCACAATCCTCTGTATGGATCCACAAAGCCAACACAATCCTCTGTATGCGATTGCTGCATTTCACTATGAAAACTTTCATATTGTGGAATTGGTGATGGTATGATAAAGCCTGGTACAACTGCTATGGGCCTGGAGTTTACCTGGAGAGAGTTCTGGGGGCCAACGCCCCTGCGGCCCAGTCTGTGACCAGGCCTCATGGTGGATCAGGGCCTGATCAGCCAGGCTGTTACTGCTGGCTGCATGCAATTCAACGTATGAACTACAGCCCGGCTGGTCAGGTACCGACCTTAGGTGCTTGTCCAGTGCCTGCTTGAAGACAGTCAGGGGTCTATTGGTAATCCCCCTTATATGTACTGGGAGGCAGTTGAACAGTCTTGGGCCTGAAGCTCATTTACTGCATAAAACAAAGGACACCTATCAAAGTTATAAAGGAGTGGAATAGGTTGTCTGATCATGTCAATGCCAGTCTTTGTATAAGTCAGTCTTGAGACTAGAACTAATGAATACATAAGGGATGAAGCAGCAGAGAGGTAGAAGCGAGTTCATGTACAAGCAGGCCCTGCTTTACAGCATTTCACTTTACAGCATTTTTCAGTTATTCCCATACTTCATTTATTGAGACTTCCTACAATAATTATATTCACCACTTTGAGTGAAGGTCAAAAATATTTTAAGTAATGTCTGTACTGTATACTATGCATTTTTTAGGCCTAGCTGTATTGCTCATTTAATGTGATAGTGTAAACACATTACAGTATCAGGTTTTTATATATACTATATTTGAAAGTGAGAATAGGCTGATTCACTTTACAGCGATTTTAGGTTTACAGTAGTAGCCCAGAATTTAACGTGCTGTATAAGTGTGTCAAATAGTTTTTTTTTTTTTTATTATTATTTAACCCCCAGAGGATTAACCACCTAAGATACCCCAAGAAAGTCGGTGTGAAATAGAGGGACACTCATTTCCATTGGGGTCCTTAATTTTGTCCTCCCAGTATGCGACCCACACCAGTGGGCTAACACCCAGGTACCTACCTACTTGCTAGGTGAACCGGACAATAGGTGTAAAGAAATGCCCAGTGTTTCTACCCTTGTCGAGGATTGAACCACACACACTGCGTGAAGCCAAGAGCGTTGCCTACCAGGCCACCGGCCACCTGTGCTGGTCATACACTTGCAATATAACCTTGATCTCATAGTCACGTGTACTAATTTTTATTGTCAGTATTAAAAATGTATTGAATAAATTTATTAAGATGCAGAAAGTGAAGATAGCAATTTCTTGTACAGTATTGTTAATCGTCAAAATTTGTTTATTGATCTGCTGTAATATGTTCATCTTTGTACAATTTATGGCATGTACATATACAGTACCTATGTAAATTAATAAGGACACCAGTGGAAAAGTTTTGACTTTATTTGGTTATCCTAGGCTAAATCTACATATCCATTTTATGTACAGTACCTTAACATGTGTCCCAAAGCCCATAGTTAAAAATTTATGCACCCAAAGTCTAAATACTGTAATAACTATTATAGTAAAATGTTCAGAAGTTGCCAAGATAGTCTGAGATAGTGATAAGAGCAAAGTGTCGAATAAGACTGGTAAAAACTTACTTAACATCAAACTATTATACAGATTCAGTGCAAAATAATGAAAGTTGAGATTTGTTTGGGTTTTTAATGCAGAGGGTAAGTTGCCCAGGATAACCCAATAATATCAGTGTATCATCAGGGACTCTTTCCATTGTGATCCTTCAATCTTGTCCCCCCAGGATGCAACCCACAGAAGTCGACTAACACCCAGGTACCTACTTACTGCTAGGTGAACAGGGACAGCAGGTGTAAGGAAATGTGCTCAATGTTTCCACCCATGCTGGAGATTGAATCATGGGCACTCAGTACGTGAGGCAAGTGCTTTGCAAACTGAGCCACAAGGCACCATAAGTTGAACTAATACAGGAAAATTTTTTATTTTCAGATAAACATAAGGGATAATACTTTTGGAAAAGCTCATAGTATAAAGAGAAGACAATGACTTGGAATTAACATCAAAGGATTAATATCCAAGGAGAACTCGAGCCATCCCAGTAATGTTTCTTACTGCATTTCCATTTGGGTATTGTACTTGCAGCTCGATCACTAGTGCACTCAGCTCACACACTGAGGTCCGGGGTTCGAATCTCCTCCGGCTAGAAAACATTAGGGATCTGTTTCCATAAGACACCTGCTGTCCCTGTCCCTGTTCACCCATCAGTTTAAAATGAGTACCTGGGTGTTAGTCGACTGGTGTGGGTTGCATCCTGGGACAAAACTGACCTAATTTGCCCAAAATGCTCAGCATAAGGGGATTTCTATATAGTAGTAGTATGTCATTGATATCAGCTAGGCCTGTATACCACGTACTTGTAGTAAATAAAAATATTATTATTATTATTTTATTTTATTATTATTTTATTATTATTTTATTTTATTATTATTATTTTTTAT